AAGAAGCCATGGTTCCATGAAGGATGCTCAAAATTATTAGACAGAAGATTTAAAGGCAAATTGCAGTGGCTACAGGGTCCAAGTGAAATAAATGGGGATAATCTGAACAATATAAGGTGTGAAACTAATAGGGAATATCTGAAAGACAAAATTGATAAGCTTACAGTGAACCATAAGGACAAGAACATTAGAGACCTGTTGGAGATGAATCATATCAGAATATTGTTCAATCACATGGACTAGAAGACGGAATCACAGGGGTCAAATGCTTATTGACTTTTGTGAGAAAAATGGACTAATTGTTACCAACACTTGGTTGAAGAAGCCAAAGAGAAGACCTTACACATGGAAGGCGCCTGGGGATTGGAGGCGGCATCAACTGGACTACATCCTTGTGAAACTTCGATTCAGAAACAGTGTGAAGGATGTGAAGATGCTGCCTGGGGCAGATATTGACTCTGACCACAACTTACTGGTTGTCAAGTTTCAAACCAGGTTGAAGAAAATTATAAGATTCCAAAAGCGCAGACCCAGATGGGATTTGGAGAAGTTATATGCTCAAAGACAAAGCATGCAGGAGACCCTAGAAGAGAAACTCAGTGAAATTGAAAGTGAAACTGGAAATGCTGAAAAGTGCAGTGGAACAATATAAAAGAATGCATGTTAGATACTATTAGTGAATTGGTTGGTAATGTTGTAAAGTTGAGAAGATAGCAAGAAAACCATGTGTTACACAGGAGATGATGAGTAAAATGGAGCAGCGAAGGAAATGGAAGAATGTAAACAATGAAGAAGGCAGGAGGAAATACAGGAGACTGAGGAATGAATTGAAAAGAGCCACGGACAGGGCCAAAAAGGAATATCTTGAGAGAAGATATGTAATGAGATTATAGAATTTCAAAGGACAGGACGTTATGATTTGATGTACATGAAGACAAAAGAACTAGGATGGAAAGAGAATCATGGGATTCAAAATGTTGGCATCGAAGACTCCCAGGGGAATAGAATAGTAGATCAGAGGCAAGTGCTGAAAATTTGGGAAAATTATATTTCAGAACTATATGATCGACCTAATCGGCCAGAAACCTTAGAAGTTGAACCGGAAGAAGAAGTAGATACAGACGAGAAAGGACCATATATTTTACAAAGTGAGGTGGAAAAAGCTATCAAGGAAATGAGGAAGGGAAAGGCTACAGGAGATGATGATGTACCTGGAGATGTGCTCAAGTTACTGGGAGAAGGTGGTTTGAAAACACTGACAAAACTAATGAACACCATATATGCAAGTGGAGAGTGGCCCAAGGACTTTACAGAAGTTACAATGATTGCCTTAAAGAAAAAGACAAAAGCTACAAAATGCAGCGACCATCGCACAATAAGCCTTATTGCACATACAGCAAAGATAATAGCAAAGATACTTAAAAGAAGAATTGAAAGGAAAATAGAGGATATACTTGGAGAGGATCAGTTTGGATTTAGAAGAGGAAAAGGAACCAGGGATGCAATTGGGATGATGAGAATTATAGCAGAACGAACTTTGGAGATAGATGAAGAACTGTGTGCTTGCTTTATAGACTGCAGAAGGCATTTGACTGTGCAAATTGGAACAAATTAATGCAGATCCTAAAGGAAACAGGTATTGATTGGTGGGAAAGAAGATTGATTAGTAAATTGTACGTGGATCAGAAAGTTAGAGTGTGACTGGACAGAGGGGAGACAAGAAGTGTGAAGATTTGAAGAGGAGATCGACAAGGATGCTGTTTATCACCAATTTTGTTCAACTTGTACCGCGAATTCCTTACCAAGGAAGCTCTAGATGGGCTTGGAGACTTCAAATTAGGAGGGAAAATTATTCAAACTGTGAAGTATGCAGATGACCTTGTGTTAATGGCTAAGGAAGAAACTGTGCTACAGGGTATGATTGGAAGGTGCTATGGCATGGAAATGAATGTGGAAAAAACAAAAGTAATGAATATTTTGAGACAACCAACCCCAGTCACAATAAAGATAGACCAAAAACAACTGGAGAATGTGAAATGTTTTAAATATTTGGGTAGCTTGTTAACAGATGATGGAAGGTGTACTTGTGAAATTAAATCTAGGATTGTCATGGCAAAAGCTGCATTTAGCAAGAAGAATCTTTTTACCAGCAAATTGGACTTAAATTTGAGAAAGAAACTAGTGAAATGCTACATTTGGAGCATTGCTTTGTATGGAGCTGAAACTTGGACACTTAGAGCAGTAGATCAGAAACACCTGGAAAGCTTCGAAATGTGGTGTTGGAAAAGGATGGAGAAGATCAGTTGGACCAATTATGTGAGAAATGAAGAAGTGTTATTTAGAGTCAGTGAGCAGAGGAATATCCTACATGAAACAAGAAAATGGAAGGCTAATTGGATTGGTCTTGTTTTACGCTGTAACTGCCTTCTAAAAGAAGTTACTGAAGGAAAGCTAGAGGGGTAGATAGAAGTGACCAGAAGACGAGGAAGAAGACGTAAGAAGATGCTGGATGACCTTGGGGACAGAAGAGGATATTCTAATTTGAAGGAGAAAGCTCTAGATCGCACTAAGTGGAGGAATGGTTTTGGAAGAGACTGTGGACCTGTCGTCTTGACAGATTACTGATGAATTATGAATGAATAGAGGGTTTACCAACCTAGAAGTAACTTAGTGAAGGATGAGAATGGTGATCTGCTTGCAGATTCCCACAACATTTTGAATATGTGGTAGAACTAGTTCTCTAAGCTATCGAACGTACATAGAGTTAGTGATGTTAGTCAGATAGAAATACATACAGCTGAGCCGTTAGTACCTGATCCTAGCCATTTTGAGCTTGAAAGTGCAATTGCAAAATTTAGAATTAATAAATTGCCAAAGTAGTGATCAAATTCTGGCAGAACTCTTTGAAGCTGGAGGTGAAATATTATGTTCTAAGACCCATTCTATTTGGCATAAGGACACATTGCCTTATCAGTTGAAGGAGTCTAATATTGTACCAGTTTACAAAATGGTAATAAAACTGAATGTAGTAATTATAAGGGGATATCACTGCTATCAAGTTCATACAATATTTTATCCAGTATTTTTCTCTCTAGATTAAGTCCATACATTGATGTAATTATTGGGGTTCATCAGTGTGGGCTTCGACTTAAATGGATCAAATATTTTTCATTCATCAGATTCTGGAGAAATACCAGAGTACACTGAGACACTATAGCAGCTATTCACAGATTACAAGAAAGCCTATTAGGAAGGAATATTGTACAATATTTTGATAGAGTTCGGGGTACCCATGCAAGTTGTTAGGCTGATTAAAATTTGCTTAAACGAAACGTATGGAAAAGTCCATTTAGGAAACATTTGTATGAATTTTTTTTTTACCGAGAATTGTTTGAAACAAAAAGATGCTTTGTAAGTTTTGAGGTTTCACGGCGATGACTATGAAGAAAGTCATCTTCTGGGATCTGGCGCCGTGTATTCTTGGTTTTAACCGACGACGTTTCGGAGGAACATATCGCCTCCATCGCAAGCAACTCAACTACCCTGAAGATGGAGGTGATATGTTCCTCCGAAACTTCGGATAAAACCAAGAATACACGGCGCCAGATCCCAGAAGACGACTTTCTTCAAAAAGATGCTTTATTGCCACAGCTCTTCAACTTTGCTTTAGAATATGCCATTATGAAGGTCCAAGAAAACCAGTGGGACTGAAATTAAATGGGACACATCAGCTGTTGGTCTGTGCTGATGATATGAATCTACTGGGTGATAATATAGATACCATAAAGATAAACACACAAACTTTAATTGACGCTAGTAAGGAGATTGGTCTAGAAGTTAGCAGACAGAAAACTAAATATATGTTGGAATCTCATCACCAAAATGCATGCCAATATCAGGACATGAAGATAAGTAACAGATTAATTGAAAATGTGCTAGAGTTCAGATATTTTGGAATGACTATAAAAATTAAAACCTGATTCAGGAGGAAATTAAGAGAAGATTGAATTCATATATTGCATTCTACCATTCAGACCAGAGCCTTATGTCTTCTCGTCTGCTCTCTGAAAACATAACAATTAGAATATACAAATTATAATTTTGTCTATGGATCCGTATGGATATGAAAATTGGTCTCTGACATTAATAGAGGAACATAGACTGAGGGAGTCTGAGAACAGGGTGTTGAGATTATTTGGACAGAAGAGAGCTGAAGTGACAGGAGGTTGTAGAAAACTGCAGAATGATGGGCATCGTAACTTGTACTCTTTTCCATGTATAATGAGAATGATCAAGTCAAGGGGGGTCAAATGGGCAGGGCATGTAACACGAATGAGGTAGAGGAGAAATGCATATAGGATATTTGTCTGTAAGCTGGGTGGAAGGAGACCACTGGGAAGACCAAGGCATAGGTGGGGGTGCACAATGTTAAAATGGATATCAGATAGTATGGCATGGATTTGATTGATCTGGCTCAGGATAAAGACAGCTGGGGCCCTTGTGACGAAGGAAATGAACCTTCTGGTTCGATAAAATGCTTTGAAGTCTTTGAGTAGATTCTAAAGGGTTTGGGCAAAGGTGGATGATACCCAGAATTACTGGATTACTCTTGAGTAGGTGCATAATTGGCAGCTGCTCAAGAAGGGCTAAGCTCCATGAGTGAGTGAGAGAGAGGATCTTGACGGGTGACGACAATCCTGTCGATGTTCGACTCGTTTTTTTTTCTTTTTTTCCCAAATTTGTTTACAGTCCCGAATAAGGAAATTAGATGTTGAACCAATTTTTGTCCTGGACCCAAAATGGCGTCGATATTAAACAGGTAAATGTTTACTACATTCATTTTTATTTATGGATATCTTTAAAAGCTATATGAAATTTTAAATTTTAGAATTACTTCTGAAGATCTGAGAAATAACATGGCACAAAGTTTATGAGAAGTATTTAAATATAATCAATATTATTTTAATGTTTTTCCTGCCCTCCAGTGGTAGAATGTGAAATTAATCACAACTCACAAATCAGATCACGAGAACGAGATTTAGCATCCAGTAAAGCAACGTTATTAGTAATTTTTTGTTTTTGTTAGTGGAGTGTAAGATGTGTATAATTTGTAGGGAATTATTGGTATCATTCTGAAAATTCTGTTCCCATATATGTCGGCAAATCGGTGGAAGCGAACACCGCAGGGTTTCATGATATTCCGCTGTTGCAAGTTCAACTTCGGGTTCATGTAAACTTCTGAGGGCCATATATTTATTAGAATTCACATTTTTTTTGCGTTTTCTCGCCTGTTACACGAATCAATTCGACTTATAAAGGATGTTGTGACAGCTGATGGTCTATGGTGAACTGGTTGAAGTTGTAGGGTATGCAAATGCATAGTGAATACTATTTTGCGGCACCAGTATATAAATTTGTAGAATAGGTTGCTGTTTCTAGGATGTAACTCCGTGCAGTCTGGTAGCCTTCTACCGACGTTTTGAAAGCAAGAGTTTCCCTCAGAATGGGCGAAACAGCTGCCTTCAAAACTTGAGCAAGTCTGTCAGACTACACAGCGTGTAAAAAGACAGCAAACTTCGTATTCTCTGCTGTGAGAACAAAGAAAGGCACATCGGTAAGTTTCCTTACAGACTTGGGAAAATATTCACGGCTAGATACAGGTACACTTGTTAGAAATATGATGGTCATACCAGTAGGATTCTAGTAAATCAACTCGTTCGCAACCCACAAAACGTGTGATAAGGAAAGTTTCGAAGTTATGAAAATATTCCGCATTTTCTTGCTCACGAGTGCAAAGAATTCTGCTACAGATAGCTTAAGAAATATTTCCTGCTGTGAGTGAAAGCATGGTAAGTGTTTTATGCTTGTATGCATAGAATTTTTATTATTTGTCAATTCTCATAGCCTAAAAACCAACACTGTATACCAATCTTGTGTTAGTTCCCATAATCTATCTGGTGAGTTTACATGGTTCTCCATATTATAACAGTTTGGTATATTATGTGTGAGAGGGAGCAATTCAAGGAGAGTGATGTGGGTAGGTCATGTAGCAGACATGTGAGATTAAGAAATGCAGACAAAGTTAGGATAGAAAAGCTCAAAGAATGAGACCACACGTGAGACATTTGTGTAGAACGATTTTAAAGATATAATTTTGGTGGGTTTCTACTGGGTTAGTTTGTGTAAGAATGGAAAGTCATGATGGGCATGTGTGAGCACAGTAATCAGAGCTTATGTAATATAAAGAGCAGATATTTTCTGTCCTGCCACAGGCACCATTATTTTCTGAGGAAGGTCCCTTCATTATGAACTTAATAGTTTCTAAGATTATGAACTCTTCACAAGAAATCCATAGAGAGTAGCTATGATGGGGTAGATGAAATGAAAAGCAGCTACAGCAAAAAGTGTGTAGATTGTTTAATGTATGGTCTTGTTAATCCGTGACTGATAGAAGGTATGTTGGTTTTACAGAACTATACAAATTCAGAGAAGGTTTTAGTGGGTCCAAATGGTGAGATATACCCAGCAAGTCATGATGCAAACCAGGCCATGAATATAAAATCGGAGGAAGTGGATCTTGTGAAAGTAACAGTTGATGAGATAAAGGCTGAACCTGAGGTGAGCTGTATGTCCACTGTTGGGCAGACATCACAGATATGCAGAAATGTCGATCGTCTTTCTCGTCTCATCTCATCTCCTTGTCTGTCTGTGCACATGAAACAACTCCACTGTGCTGCTGACTGGCCTTTGAAGGTCTTTTTCTGAAGTGTCTCTAGACAGTTGTATTTTGTTGAATGAATGTTTCTTTCCTTTTAAGCAGTTCTGATGCAGATGAAATTAAACTATGTTTCAGAGAAATTCTGTAGCAGCAAAAATCCTTATGGAGTCACGATTCTGTTCACATTTAGTTACTGCTACACTTATTAAATCAAGGATTTAAATTACTAGGACTCTTGTAAGCTAATTATAATGAACCCCACAAAATATTTATCTTGTGATGCACAGGTTTCAAGGTTATGATGGATTATGCATTCTCTTGCAACAAGAGTGGAAAGAATTGTACTGCAGGGCGCAAAAGAAACATTTCCTCCTGTGAGAGAAACAATTGTGTTTTTTGTTTGTGTGTACAGACAAAATTTTATTTTCATGTGCCAACTCTCTTCACCATAGAAATAATTTGAAAGGGTTTGTACTGCGTCTGTTTGCCTTAGGATACAGATCCATGATGAGCATGTGTGACCACAGTAATGAGCCCTTTGTGTCTTTCCCAACAAATCCTATAAGCATTCCTCTTCTCCCCCTGCCTGCTGTATGAGCAGCCCATCTCATCCTCCTTGACTTGAGCATTTTAATTATGCTTGGTGAATGAAAGTTACAAGTTGTGGAGCTCCTCATGCAGTTTTTAGGTTCCAAAGGAAGCTGATATTTTCAGTGCTGCCGCAGTGATTGTTATTTTTTGGGAAGAGAACTGAGCTATGAACCAGATACTTTCCAATGATCTTGATAGCTGTAGAGAAGAAAATGCATACAGAAGAGCTCTTGTGAGCTTAGATGTAATGAGAAGCAGCCATAGCAGGGAGATCATGTGCTGTTTAATGTTTGGTGCTGTGCATCCACTTCTGAGAAAGATGTGATGGTTTTACAGGACTGTGCAAGTTCAGAGAACGTTTTAGTGGGTCCATATGGGGAGACATACCCAACACCTTATGATGCAAACCAGGCCATGAATGTAAAAGCTAAGGAAGTTTCAGATGCAGAAGAGGAAGAGGATCCTGTTGCAATAACATTTCCAGAACTAAAGGCTGAACCTGAGGTGAGCTGTATGTGCACTGTTAGGCAGGTAACACAAATGTGCAGAAGTGTCAGTTGTCTTTCTTATCTCCATCTCTCTGGCTGTCTGTGCATGTGAAACAGCTCTACTGCGCTGTTGACCAGATTCTGAAGGTTTCTTTTCTTCTGAAATGTCTAGGCAACTGTAGTTTGTTGAATGTTGCTTGTGATGTACCAGTCCCATTTTCTTTTAACCTTTAAGGGATTGGACATTTAAATTCCGGTAATGGCTGCGGGCCGGAGTTAATTGAAATTCCCGCCATTGTAGAGTAATAAAAATTGTAATCATGTTACTCAAAATGCTGTGATTTCTACAATTTTTGTGATAAACGAACGAAATAAACGCTACTTTTATCTAGAAAGAATATAGAATCAGATATTGTAATTTACAGATTTTAGAATCTGTAAAAATTGTTACATTGATTCCGAAAATAATTTTTCCCCAATTTTGAGCGTCTGTCTACAAAAATACATAAAGCTTCTGCACAGAACCTTTCTGCAGTATAAATGCATGACTATGTTTTATCTGGAGGAGATAGGAGGTTTGTTTTCATTGCACATTCTCCAGTCAGTCCTTCTTGTATATAGTGCCTGTTTATACAAGTCTATCCACACAGAGTTACTTCTTGGAATATTCCCCTCAATGCCCCTTGGCTTCATAACCAACTGTACCGCATTCTGAATGGTGTAATTTAAGAGCGGCCTCCCAATTTCGGCTTCTTCCATGTGAAATGGGGCCATGGTGCATAGTTGAAATTGTGATGTTTTATAAGCATTACAAATACAGGAGACCACTCGCCATCACTGGCCTACTTCCTGCTAATACGAGACAGATGTTTTGTGTGTGTGCTTCGTGTGGAAAACAGAGTTACATATGGATAAATTGCATGAATTGCGATGTTGGACTCTGCATTCAGTTACATGCAACATTCAGTTAGATGATGCAGGAGGGAAGACATTCTACTTATAAAGCGGGTGTCCAAAAATAATGCAAGTAGAACATGAATTTCTATCTTAAAATTAGATTTTAGAACACTGTGCGCACACATGGACTGCGAGTCACTATACAGTGTCTTTCGGCACACTCGGCTTTACTTTAAAGGTTCCCATACCATGCCCTTCGGTTCATAAAGGTTAAGCAGATCTAATATGGATGGAATGAAATGCTGTGTAAACTGAATATTTTGGTAAATTCTATACAAGAAAAATCCTTCACATTTTCCTTGTGTGTCAAATCCACTAAACAGTGCTTTGGCACTATATCATAGGGTTCCCAGGATCTATAAATGCTATAGTTTTATCATTTGTTTTCTATCTTTGATGTAGTCTGTATCAATGTAATAACATAGAGGTCCCATTATATTGAGGATTTATTATAGGATACCTAATGAGTCTCAAAAGATTTGTGACATTGTGGGACAGATCATAGACACGTGTTTCCTGTTGCCTCTGTACCTGTTGTCGGGTGATTGATTGTCATGACAGAATGGTGACTCAACATTGGATACAGAGAATGTGTAGAAAGCAGTAGTGAAGAATTGGCATTGGCAACACAATATATACAGGGTTTGTCCGAAAAGTAATGTCGGTGAGTCGATTAAAAACATTTGTTGATTAGATTGGTACAACACATTAAAAGGCTTCAAAATAGGCTCCTTCTGCGTCGATACATCGCTTCCAGCAAGATTTCCAGGCATCGAAGGCGTCATGATAGGCCTCCAGAATTTCCTTTAGACCCTTGGTGCAAATCTCTTTGACTTTGTCAACTGTCCCAAAATGATGTCCTTTCATGGGAGTTTTCAAGCACGGAAACAAAAAGAAGTCTGGGGGAGCTACGTCAGGAGTTTAGGGTGGCTGGGGAACCGTTGGCACCTTTGAATCAGTCAGGAAGCTGGTCACAAGAAAGGCAGTGTGGGCTGGTGCATTGTCATGGTGAAGTTTCCAATCATCCACAATGTCAGGCTGGATGTGATGAACCCTTCCTTTGAGTCTCTTTAGCACTTCCACGTAGAATTTGGCGTTGATGGTTGTACCATATGGTATAAACTCATGGTGGACGAGCCCCCTGATGTCAAAGAACACAATGAGCATGACCTTAACCTTTGACTTGCTCATTCTGGCCTTCTTGGGGCGAGGGGATGCTGAGGTGTGCCACGCGGCACTTTGCCTTTTTGTTTCAGGGTCGTACTCAAACACTCGAGTCTCATCACCTGTGTTGATGACATTGTCTAAAAAGTGAGGGTCACTTTCACACAAGTCCAAAAGTTCTTGGCTGCATTGCGGCTTGCACGGGAGACAAAAACAAGTTTCACGGAAAAGCCTTTCGTCACTCTCAGGAAGTTCGGAGACAACTAAGTGACTGTGCTTTCATAAGCTGACTTCCCCCTCCACCGATCCCAACTGGTCTGAGCATGCTGCAATGTATAGTCACTTCACAATAAAATCACTGACATTACTTTTTGGACAAACACAATTATCGTGAAGCGGAATATACAATGGATATAATTAAATACACAAATAAGTCTATTAATGAACTTCAAAGGAAATTTATATATATACATATAGACAGAGGTTCTTACTTTTCTTGGCCGGTTCACAGCTCTGCATTTCACAGTGACTGATGCACTGCTGTCTACAAGGCACATACAAATTTTGCCAATGAATCAATATGCCTATGGCCGGTAACGTTTTGAATGAATCATACAGTTCACAGGTCACAGAAGTTGTTGGAAATGCACAAAGACCATCACCAAATAATCCATGAACACGCAGACACCATTGGGATCATTTATGGAGTTTGCCTGGAGATCTTAACAGAAAATTTGAACTTACATATTGCCCCCTCATCACTACAACACAAACCATCCATGAGCTCGCAGATATCAGTGGGATCAGTTATGGAGTTTGCCAGGAGATCGTTAACAGAAAATTTGAACTTGCACCATATTGCCCCCTCATCATGACAACACATCCGCTCAACTATCCCTAGAAGCCATGGAGTTTGTGACTAACAACATGATTAATGTTTGCCATCCTTACTTGCTGGACTCAGCGCTGTGTGATTTCTGTGTTTCCTAATTTGAAAATGAAACTGAAGGGACGATATTTCGAAACAGTATCTGACATCCAAAGGGAATCACAAGTGGTACTCGATAGCATTGAGGAAGATTTCTTTCACTGCGCTCTTGAAGCATTGAAAAAACAATGGAAATGTTGTGTACGTTCTCAAGAAGACTATTTTGAAAAAACTTTCCAGTACACCCCGTATAATGTTTGCACAGAGTCACACATACGCCGAGCCGGTCACGGTGGCGGAGTGGTGTAAGGCATGCATTGCCTTTGCTCGCTTTGAACCTGAGATTATGTACTTGAACGACACTCAATATATGGATGTTTGGTGTGTGTGTGTGTGTGTGTGTGTGTGTGTGTGTGTGCGCGCGCGCGCGCGCGCGCCCGTGGACACACATTCTTTTCTTCGTCCAGAAGTACTGGCCATTTTCTGGCAAAGCCAGAAGTTTACATTGTCAAGGAATCTTGTGTGGCATCCTAGGAGATGACTCATGTATTTGTTCATCTTATGAGGGTGAACATATCTATTGAACTGACACTATGCAATTCATCTTTTTGAGGCCTTATATATATTGTTTCAGGGATTTTGCTGGGCCATATGCAGCCTTAGTATCATTTTTTAGCTCAGTCTTTATTGTTATTTCATTTTAGGAGCCTATCCACTATTAATTAGATGCCTGTCCAGCCTTACAAATGCATAATTTTATTTAATTTGGAATTTGTTAAACAGTGGCAGTGCAGCTTAACTTCGGTTGACTCAGAAACCTCCACGCATGCTGATCGACTCAGGCACACACCACACAAGGGGGCATTCTCTCTGTCACCACACTGGGGCTTCAAACACATTTCTCTTCCTATTAGGATTTTTCATGTTATTTGCTCTCATTTTCCAGGATAATTTGAATGAACTGCATCCTGTACATTGTGAGGAGCAACGATATTCCTGTGATGAGTGTGGTGATTCATTCAGTCAAGAGCAAATTCTGATAGCACATCAGTGCGTACATACTGGGGAGCAGCCATTGTGTTGCAACATATGTAATAAGTCATTCAGATGTAAGAGTCATCTGAAGACACATCAGCTCATACATACTGCTGAGCGGCCATTTTGCTGTGACATGTGTAATAAGTCATTCAGTCAGTTGGGTCATCTAAAGAGACATCAGTGCATACACAGTGGGGAGAAGCCATTTTGCTGTGATGTATGTAATAAGGCATTCAGTCAGCAGTATACTCTGAAGATTCATCAGCGCATACATACTGAGGAATGGCTGTTTTCCTGTGATGTGTGTAGTAAGTCATTCAGTGTTAAGAGTAGTCTGAAGACACATCAGCACATACATACTGCTGAGAGGCCATTTTGCTGTGACATGTGTAATAAGTCATTCAGTCAGTTGGGTCATCTGAAGAGGCATCAACGCATACACAGTGGGGAGCACCCATTTTGTTGTGACAAGTGTAATAAGTCATTCAGTCAGTTGGGTCATCTGAAGAGGCATCAACGCATACACAGTGGGGAGCACCCATTTTGTTGTGACAAGTGTAATAAGTCATTCAGTGAGAAGAGTAATCTCAAGACACATCAGCGCATACACAGTGGGGAGCAGCCATTTTGCTGTGATGTGTGTAATAAGACATTCGGTGTGCACAGTAGTCTGAAGAAACATAAGCGCATTCATAGTGGGGAGCGGCCATTTATATGTGACATTTGTACTAAGTCATTCCGTCAGCAAAGTAGTCTGAAGAGACATCAGTCCATGCATAGTGGTGAACAGCCATTTAGATGTGATGTTTGTAATAAGTCATTCAATCGGCAATGTAGTCTGAAGAGACATCAGCCCATACATAGTGGTGAGCGGCCATTTAGATGTGATGTGTGTAATAAGTCATTCAATCAGTTGGATCATCTGAAGAAGCATCAGCACATACACAGTCGGGATCACCCATTTTGTTGTGACAAATGTAATAAGTCGTTCAGTGAGGAGAGTAATCTGAAGACACATCAGCGCATACATAGTGGGGAACGGCCATTTTGCTGTGATGTGTGTAATAAGACATTCGGTTTGCAGAGTATTCTGAAGAAACATAAGCTCATTCATAGTGGGGAACGGCCATTTATATGTGACATGTGTAATAAGTTATTCCGTCAGCAAAGTAGTCTGAAGAGACATCAGCCCATACATAGTGGGGAGCAGCCATTTTGCTGTGATGTCTGTAATAAGACATTCGGTTTGCAGAGTATTCTGAAGAAACATAAGCTCATTCATAGTGGGGAACGGCCATTTATATGTGACATGTGTAATAAGTTATTCCGTCAGCAAAGTAGTCTGAAGAGACATCAGTCTATGCATAGTGGTGAGCGACCATTTAGATGTGATGTGTGTAATAAGTCATTCAGTCAGCAAAGTAATGTGAAGAGACATCAGCTCATACATAGTGGTGAACGGCCATTTAGATGTGATGTGTGTAATAAGTCATTCAACCAGCAAAGTAGTCTGAAGACACATCAGCTCATTCATGTTGATGTGTGTAATAAATCATAGAGCAGTGGAGATGGGTTTAGACTGAAGGAACATTGACTTGTAGCATGCCATGGTTTTTCATGTTGTAAGTAAGACAGTTTTGCTGTGTGTGGCATGCTGCATTTTTGTAGAATGCTACAAAATATTGGAGTGCAAAGTTGTGCAAATGAGATCCATGTGATTCTGATTGCTGAATGTGCACAGTACCCTGTCTTGTTGAGTGGAAACATACAAGGTGGTTCAGATATGACAGGGACTGATTTTTTTTTAAACCAAAATTGCCAAACACTACTTGCACATGTCAGTCTTCAACGTACTCCCCTCCGGAGTCAACACATTTTTTCCAACGTTCTGGCAGGATCGTGATGCCCTTTTCAAAAAAGTCTTGTGGTTGGTGGCGTATCCACTCCGAACGTTCTGGATTGTCGTATCCCTAAGGTGGACGACGGAGTGCTTGGCCGAGCAGGAGCCGTAGTTCCGTTGCTTTTGGTGATGAAGTTGACTGATGAAGAATTAGCTTGAAACAAGGCGTTTATTACATAAAATAAGTAAGTACAATAGAGAAACAGGTAATTGCCTAAGGGCAATGGCACGGCCGAGTCTCTAAGCAGCACAGAGTCCCCGACTCTTAGTGACTGATCAGAAAGCTGTCGTCAGTTTATTTTAGTGAGTTTATATACGTTTCTTAGGGGTAGTTTCTCCAGGAGCCTCTGGCAGAACTTTCCCCTCGTGACTACACATCTCTATTCGAGGATATGTATATGGGTATTGTTTACTTTGTACATTGGCCCTGTTGTTGGACTTTTACCGGTGTGGTAGGAACTAATCGAAATCAGTCACGTACTGCCTCGAAAGTTTGCCTTCTGGCTAGGAAAGCTAGATAAATTTGGAAATAATGTAAATACATCCATGAAATTCCAGGCCACAGTATTTCATTTTTGTACAGTCTATTGTCTTAAATTTTGACTTGATCTTCCTATTAACCTTTAAACGACAAAAGACACCGTATGTCGTCGCAGATATAAAGGCAGCGGTACGAATGACGCCATGTGGTGTCGCAAAGTCCGCGCGTGCGGACGTTATTTGAAATACATTTTTAAGGTAGAAAATAATGTCCTACTTATATAATTTTTGGCCACCATCTGCATGGAATGTCTGTCTACCCACCTGCGTCATCTGCCGGAATGTTGCCTTCGTGTGGAATTCTCAAAAAAATCCGGAAATGCAGAGTCCGATTTCGCACTTCACGTACTTTGTCCTGACGGTCTTTCGTTTCCCAAGCGAAAAGCACACACGACACCTCAATTGCGAAGTAGAGGAAGTCGGCCAGTGATGTGGTTTGGCCTTCTATAATCGAGATATCTCCGATAAAACGGCAGGGGTTCGACTCCTGGTCGCACAGTCCGCGCGTGCTATCTTTACCTGAAATAAAAGTTTAACGTAAAAAATAATTTTGTACTTACGTAATTTGTGGCCACCATCTGCATGAAGCGTCTGTCTTCCCACCTGCCTCATCTACCGGAATGTGGCCTTCGTGTGGTATTCTTGGAAACATCCGGAAATGCACAGTCCGATGTCGCACCTGACGCACTTTGTCCGGACGGTTCTTCGTATCCCACGCGAAGAACACTCACGACATCTCAACTTCGAAGTAGAGGAAGTCGGCCAATGTTGTATTGTGACCTCCCCTATTCGAGATGGCTCCGATCTAACAGCCGGGGGTCGACCCCTGGGCCGTTGAGGGCGAGGTGGACCCCTTCCAGCGAGCTCCAGCATGTTCCGCACAAGGGCGAGACGAAAATCTCTGTGTGACAATTTCGCGCCACAGGATGACAACAGGATATAACTGTTCAGAATCGTCAGATCCAGGAGATGGAAAAATAGTTTATTTGTCCATTTCCAGGTCCGACGACAGATGCCATAACTGTTTGCCATCCTGTCCGCCTTGTCCACATAACCCATGTGCTTGTTGTAGTCAGCAACAACAGCTGGTTTTGTGGCATTTCCATGCTCACCACAGAAATTGCCTTCTGCTGGAGGAGAGTGCATATTTGTCAGCATGTAAACGTCACGTTTGTCCTTCCAAACTAGAGCTGTCATGTTCTGTCTCACCCTAACACGAATGTCCCCTTTCCTAAGTCGAAACTGTCTTCGTCGAAAATCGTCAGGCAAGCCCTTCCGATTAGGTCTGACTGTCCCACAGCACGTTATCTTCTTTGTCATCAGTTCGTCAAACAAGTCGGGCGAAGAAAAGAAATTGTCCATGTACAGTTTGTGACCTACGCCCTCAATACGCCTGCACAGGTCCCTAACTGTAGCATGTGTCGCTGTCACGTCTCGGTCGGCACGTGTCCTGTCTTTTCCTAGGTAAACTTTCATGTCATACGTATACCCAGCGGCGTCACAAATTTTGAAAATTTTGATTCCGAAACGTTTGTGTTTCTTCGGAATGTACTGCTTAAAAATCACCCTCCCTTTGTATTTTACAATTATTTCGTCAATGGCCAAATGTTCGGAAGGGTTATAATATTTTTCAAATGCGTCATTGAGAGTGTCGAAGATGGTCCGAATTTTCCAAAGTCGGTCATAACTGTCGTCATTCCTGTCAATTTCTGTCCTGTTGTCTGCAAAATGTAGAAAACGAAGAATGTGAAGAAATCGGTCGCGTTTCATTGTCTTAGAGTAGAAAGGCGTGGCAAATTGTTCGGCAGTCGACCAGTAGTCCGTCAGTCTGTCTCTAATGTCATGTCCCATCTGAATGATTATTCCTAGAAACAGAAACATCTCGGATTCGGTCACGTCAGGCCGCGGAGAAGGTCCGTCTTGACGTCTCTCTATGTGCTGGTGGTAGTATCTGTTCGTCTCTTCCACCAGCAGATGGATAATCTCTGCGAAATACAGCATGAAAACGCTGAAAGGGGTGGAATCCTTATTTACATGTGGAGCTTCATGGGTTTTTAACCCCACAGGTCCACCTGAATAAGTATTCACACTCCTAGTGCCACGCCGGTGTGGCGGTCCCCAGGTTGCCGACGAAGATGATTGGTCTTCATCGATATCACTTCCTGATTCGCTACCTTCAACGTCACTCTCAGAATTGTCAGTACCACAATCTGAATCGGTGTCATTTATTAGCTGAAATATGTCGGAATCTTCGAGATGAGACGATGCCATGATCGAACTAATTAGATAGCTAGACAGAACACTTCCAGTTACGAACCAAGCACTCAGTGTAAAGAAACTGTATAAAGAAGTGTGCAACCCAGCTCGATAAAGCAGCACTGAGTTCATTTCATTCCCCCACTCTCTTCATTCCTATTGCACTACGTCATGTTACGATAAAACTTCAAAGTACTTCGAATGAACCCTTAGAATCACGGACCTATTCCGTTGATAGAATTATCCACACGACACTAGGCCATGTACAAACTTCGACTGCACAATTCCAGGAACTAAGCTCTATTATCGCTTTGTTGATACTACAAAAGCAATTGCATAAACAATGTTAGCCTTGATCTATATAAGAACAGTAGGAACTTTATACTGTAGCTGAGAGCGAAGACACTGAGCTTATTTTCACTCGTCCAAATCAACATTCCGAACGAGGTACGTCACTTTATACTGAGATAAACTTACTAGACACAGCAACTCCAATGTTGCCGAGTGTCTCCATCCACCAGATTGAATTCAGGGGTGTCCAAAACGTATGAATTCTCGCAGAGAAGGAAAAAAATTGGCAAATTTCTTTTTGGAGTCAGTGCAAAAATTTTAACATGTTTTATACAATCTGTAAATTACAATATCTGATTCTATATTCTTTCGAGAAAAAAACAGCGTTTATTTCGTTCGATTATCACAGAAATAGCAGAAATAGGAGCAAAATTAGTAAGTAACTTACAGCTTTTACGGATTTCTAAGAGCGGCCCTTTAAATAATTCCGTACCGCTGCCACAGCCTAAGTTTAAAGGGCCGTAGGATAAAGGTTAATCAAATTTCCTTCTTTATTGCCTCCATATACAACAGGGGAGGTGTTGTATATGGAGGCAATAGAGAAGGAAATTTGATTAATAGGATGATCAAGTCAGAATTTAAGACAATAGACTGTACAAAAAGGAAATATTGTAGCCTGGACTTTCTGTATTTTACGTCCTCTTTTGATTACTGCATTTACCTTTTCTATTTTGACTACCTCGTAGGGTCCTATCCATTGATTACGCAATTTTTTGGATCGTCCTCGCCTCACAGTCTCATCATATAAAAGGACTTTGTCACCTTCCTTTATTTGGACTTAATTTAATTTTGTATCGTAATATTCCTTACTTTTTTGCTTGGCTGCTATTAACTTCTTTCTGGCTATTTCGTGAGCAGTTTGTAACCTTCCTTTTAGCTCCAAAACAAAATTGTCATAGCAGTATTTTGGGCTGGGTGGTTCGTACAGCATCGACGGCAATGTCGATCGGAACCGATACACCTGTTCGAATGGTGTGTACCCTGTGGCGGTATGCACCGTGGTGTTGTACACATACTCTGCATATGGTACCCACTCATCCCAATTTGTTTGGTCTTCGTCTATATAATGACGTAGATATTAGGTTAAAACCCGGTGACTTCTTTCTAGTCCTTCGTTTGATTCCGGTCTAAAGGCTGTGGTTTGTAGTTTCTTTATTCTTAATAATTTACATATGCTTTTGAACAATTCACTGAAAAAGTTCGCTCCTTGATCTGTCAGAACTTGCCTTGGTGTCCCTATTTTCAAGATTATGTTTACTGCAAACTCTCTAGCTATGGTCTCAGTGTCCTGCTGTGGAATCGGGATTGCCTTGACCATCTTGCTCAGATCGTCTTGAAAAGTAAGTATATGCTTATTCCCTTTCGCAGTTTCTGGTAGAAGGCCTATGATGTCCAAAGAACCTTTCTTGAAT